AATTATGTCCATAAAACTGCGCATGATATTCAGTCCCTTAATTAAACTGTGATTATTTTAGCTTCGATAATGTTCGTCTAAGTCTCCGAATGTTATTATATCTGTTTAGTAATGTTTACATTGCTTTCAGTTTCATGGTGTAGTTAGAATTGAATTAAGTGTGATAGCAACTACTCAACATGTTAAGCATTACACTGAGCGAAATTCTATAATTTTACATTTCAAGACCGATGCAAGCCAGTTCTTTCACCGTCGCAGCCTTAAATACAGAAGTTACTCGTATTTCAGCGTTATTGCAGATGACATTACGAAGGGTTTAGTCGAACCACTGAGCTTTCTTACATAAATTACATGAGTGGTATTTCTTGGCATCGCTACTGGACCATTAGAGCTAATTTTAAATGTAAATGCGTTAAGAGCTTCTAAGTTGAGCTTTCTGTTATCGCACAGAAGAGCCTGAAGTTTGAGCCATTTCTTCTGATTTGGTATAATGGTTACAATATTCCGTTGTTACGAACCAAGATATTTCATTGAAAGGGAATATCATCATCAAGCTTGATTATTGTCGCAAATTCCAGCGTTCAATGTCAATGGAAAGATCCTTCTTTCACTATCAACTCCCTCGTTATAGCAATTTATATCTTCCTTTGCAAGCACCCGAAATTCAGAAGGTATGCTTCTCTTTGTGAATGTTTTAATGAGCTGCTGAATGCCATTGGACAAATTGTTCAGGATTGATGATTTTATAGCAAGTCCTTGCTCAGCGATGTATAACTTAAGTGATTTTAACGTTGTCTGATTTTAACGTGCTGATTTTAACGTTGTCTTTTTCAGTTGCAATCAATTTTAGCTGAACCAAAACGTGCTATATGTTAAATTATGTTAACTGAAGTTTTCAAATAAAACTGGGTTTAACATGTAAAATTTAATATTTGATATGATGTTGTGAACATTTTAGAGACGTGATGTTGTCCGCTACGAACCAACAGTATTTTGAATATTATTTTTGGCTTTATCCTCGAATTTTAATGAAATTTACCTATAGTTTTAAACTGAACTAGTTCATGACTCTATATTTGTTTATCTATTTAACAAATAATGTTGGTATATCGCCTATACAATGACTTTGGTTAAGAGCTATTTAACAGTATTTTTTGTATATTATTTACTTATATGTTTAATCATGTGTTTAAAAAGAATCATGAATGAAGTAAATCCGGTATATATTCATCTATACTTAAATATATTTTCGGTGACAAATATGAACTGTTCTTCACCGGATGCAGGTAGTTTCAAACGATAAATGACAATCAAATTTTGTCAGAACTTTTTGCCTTTGCAAGAATTTTATTTTGGTTTTTGCAGATGGGTAATTCAAAAATGTTCAAAGTTCCATCGCCATCTGCCAGCAGATGGTGCCGTATTTTCTTGCAAAACTTTATCTCGAATGTTGGACTAAAAATAATTTGTCATTTCTTGATCTTAGAAAATTTCATCAGATGTAAATTTTTTACTCAGCTTCCATTTTGTCGCAAGCGAGTTTGATGAAATTTCGTGCATTTCCCTTCATGAAACACAGAACATTGTAATTAACATACAACGGAATAACTAACTTGAATATCATGAAACACTGAACATAATTTTTTTAAAGTAATATAATAATATAATAGCCCTTTAAGATAATTTTTAAGAACCCCCTATCCACTATTACGCTTTGAGTAAGTAAGAGACATTTATATGCATCGTACAAAAAAAGTAGATAACATTTAATGTTCTATGACAATCCATATGCATCAATAACTTTTTGAAACATTGTAACATTTTCTGGTCAATCCTACAGTAAGCTTTGAACCATCTTGCAAACTATTTGGAATTAAAATATTAGTTTATTTTTCCTCTAATTAAATGGCTATAATCATCTCATATCAAGCTTAATAAATTTTCATCGTTTAAATTAATTACCGCAAATGTAGCATTCATTTTTTAATCAAAAACTCGTTTCTTTCTGGCTTTATATTGGGTATTGCTGGCTCGTGTTTGTAAAATAAATTATTCAGTTCGAAATTTTAACCGTTTCAAAACTTTTTATCCGTCTGTTAAATTTATCATAGGAAATTTAATTTTCCACATTCCAATTCAAGCAAAAAAACGAATCACGTCCTTTAAAGAACTTATCGCTTTTATTTCTTTAACGAGTTTTAAGCGTTCCTTAACGCTATTCCTTAATAATTATTCCGTGGTTAGATTTTTTATTCGGAACATTAATATATGAGCTTAAATGTTGTTTTAGTGGTGATGGTAACTGTTTTGCAGAACATTTCTAAGGTACTCGAATGATATGTACATTGAGAAGTGTAGAACATTAATGTACTGCACCTAAATCAAACATCAAACAGGCATCGATTGGATAGCATCTTCTGTCCGAACATCAACATAATAGAACATCAACCTTGCAGTGACTTCAATTACTGAATTAGCTTCAAGTAAAACTAACTTCGATCTCACTTGACTGGAATAAACACAATGAGAAGCAGTTCGAAATGCAGTAAAATTCATGAATTATTCCTTTGACTGATCACGACTGTATTAATCATGTAGATTTCCCTCACAAATCCAATTTTATCGTCGAACTGATCACCTTTACTGCCTTGTGAAGAGCACTAAAAAATTATCAATATCACGTTTCTAAAATCCTTTCAAGACTTTTAGAATCATCGGCAATTGCAGCACGAATTTCAACAATTTTTTTCTAGTTATTTCCAGATTTTTATCATCCTTGAAATTTTTAGCAACAAGAATTTAGTTCGAAGTGACAGTTTCATTACATTTTTTTTTTTTGCTCCATTCATCTAGCATGAATTTAAAAAATTCTCGCTGTCGTATTTATCCTCAGGAATCTCTGCCGGATTGGATTATGATTAAACTGGAGATAAAAATTTCAATTTAAGCGCAGATGCAATCCGTTGAATAAAACCTGCGCGGAATTAGAACTTGTGGCCAAAACTATTCATGCTTTTAAAATGATTACATAAGCAGGTAATAAATTACAAGCTGTTTGGTTCAGATTTATTCATATAAAATGTATGAATGATTCACAAAATATACTTTATAACAATTCATAAACAATTTAGATTATCTCATCGTTACCGTAGAACAAGATATAAAACCTTATCAATATATCTGTTATGAATATGGTATAAATTTGACAAATTTCAATTATATCTGACAAAGTTCATACACGATAACAAATACTGTAGAAATGGAGTGCACCGTTGATGCAAACAATATCTTGTCATATTTCTGTTTTTAATTATTCATTATTTAACTATTATTACTCCAAAGACTACGCCAATAAGCAGATTAACAACTCTTTCGCTTAATTAATAGTCATAATTCGTACCCTATTGGCAACAAGACTGTAAACCCAAATACTCTAATATTATTTATGTTTAATCAAATGATAATAGACGCACGTTTACACAGAATCTATTTTTCCCCAATCTAACGCCTACATCCAGTATCAAAAAATAAAAAAATTCATATATAAACTGAAGCGCACATTTACCCAAAGCTAAATAAAACTTGGCAACGTGTAGCCATGCATTGTTTCAATCCGAAAAAAAAACAGAACTTGCTAGTAACAAAAATTTATTTAATTTCATATTAATCCTTTCAATGGCTTATTCAAATCAACCCTTTCAACAACTTTATCCATTATATTTCAACTAGTTTATCACAGCAAAAAATACATCATGAAGTTCCTTCATTTCCTGGAGCACTCTTTCCTGAACGTCTTCTCGGTAGAAATTCGAAAGCAAAGATAATTCCACGAAAATTTATCTTATCTTCATATAAAAAGTTTCAGAGCCCAGATCAACATTCTCGTTCCCAAGTCAGTTCTATAATTTTCAAAATGACGATGGAGCTGGATTCCAAAATGCTTTCTACAAAGATATGATACATTTTCGTGGAACTTCATATTCTTTCAAATTTCTTGCGAATTTGCTATGTAAGCAAACGAGTGACATTGTCTTCTCAGTAAACGGGCCTCGCTTTAAAAGTTGAATGCCAGGGAAGTTTCTTCCTCAGGGATTCTTGTTTTAATTCATTCACAAACCTTGTTGTAGTTTGGCGACGTGACATGTCCCAAGAAGGGACTATTGCGAGGCATCCTTGCAATTTTTACAGAAGAAAGTACAATTTCAGGACTTTTAACTCTCCTATTTTAGGAAATTTTATCAAACTTTTCCGTTGCTCCTGTCGCTCATTTTGTTCCGAGTTAGAGATCTTCATGTGGAGGCGTTTATTTATATCGATGAACAAATTACTCTGACGTTTCTACCATTTTCAATTAGTAATTTTATTAACTGCATTTTTATTACTAATTAACTCCATTTTTCCGTACTTTTCACGCTCAAGTTCATCAATGAACTATTTGACATAAATCAATGCGAAAAGAAAATATTCTCTATGTCACGGGAAATAAACTATTTTAAATTCTATTGAAATCTGCATTTGTCATCTTATTCACTGAATTTTAATATTCCAGGGCAAAAATTCATTTCTTCTAAACGATTTTACGCAAGGCATTGTCAGCTTCGTTTACAACCAGTTTAGTGTATCGATCATTGAATATTTCCTGCAATGGTCTCCTGATCGTCAAAGAAACCATCATCGACTGGATACTGAGAGGTAACATGGACAGGATATTGCGTCGTCTTATTAGAATCCGGTTCCCCCTTCACGAAATTTTTATTCAAGTCCACCAATATCTTCGGCTTATTAGAAGGCAGGAACTCAAAATGCTCCGTAGAGTCAATGTAATTTTCGAAAATGTCTGGATTTTCAGTTTCTACTCGAGGAAATTTAGAGTTTGCTAGTGTATGTCTGTTTTCCTTGAGATTATTTATGTCGTATGGTGATTCTGAACTGTTCTCTTGGTTATAAAGAAAATCAGAAAAGTTATCTTGAGCTAAAGAAATAGGATTATTCTCCCTCACTTTGGGGTTTGATGATTTTAATCTCATCTCAGAGCTATTTGGATGCCCTGAACCATTTTCAGATTCAGAGCTTTTTTCATTACTTTCTGGTGAATTAGGGGCCATCTCAGAACTATCTGAAGACTCAGAGCTCTTTTCAGAACTATCTGGAGACTCGGAGCTTTTTTCAGAACTATTTGGAGATTTAGTGCTCTTTTCAGAACTATCTGCAGATTCGGAGCTCTTTTCAGAACTATCTGGAGACTCAGTGCTCTTACTGATATCATTGAACCCATCAAGATAGTCCTGCAAGTTGTCGGGAACGAATGTCGGGAGCACAAAGCCGCCATCCGCTTCTGGGCGAGCGGTGGCAGAGGTTTGAGACGGCGATGAATCTTGAGTCGGTACGGAGGCCGTTGAATTGGGTTCTTTAGTTGTGTTTGCGATGTTTGAATTCGTTTTAGTCTTCTCCGAAAGAGGTTGGGTAGTAGATGAAATAGCTGGAGGGGCATCGTTAGTTATTTTAGCAGGCGCCGTAGTTGAAAAGTTGGCTGTTGGTGTAGTTTGCTTCCGTGACGCAGAATTTTCATCTGCTTGCGATAGCTTCGCGGTCATTTTTGCAGACGTCATCACGGGCTTTTTTGCCAGCCTGTCTTTTATTTCCTCTCTACTTTCCATGCTTTCATCGTCCTCGCTCTCCTCACTGCCTTGTTTCTTTTGTTCCTTTCTTCCGTTCTCTGAGCTCTCATCATCAGGTGATCTAGCTTTACGTGAAACTGGAATTAGATATCTAGAGGAACTGGTTTCGAAACTTACAACGCTTCTTCGGCGTCGGTATCCTCGACGAGTCTCCACAAGCGGGCGATACACCAAATTTTGATGAGGATTTTGTTGCAGCAGGTACGGACTGCCTTGCACCAAGGCCTGTTGCTGATGATACACATGGGGAACCGCCATTAAATGCTTCTGCGAGTTGCGCAGTTTGTGCCGGGAAGAAGGTCGTGTCTGCGGACCGTTGCGCTGGTAGAGGTTAAGCTCTTCTTGCTGGTAGGTTGCCGGCGCTTGTTGAGCCTCCGTCACCTGCACACGAACAAAAAAAAAGAACTCAGTACTCACTGCAGTGAGTGACAGAGAGCGCATTTTCTCGTCGACAAAAACGTGCAGTCACGGACGGACATGACGAGCACAATAGCGCCTTTTTTCCATAAATGAGAAAATGCACTAAAAATTATTCGTTCGCTTTACCCTTTATCAGTTAACTTATCAGCCGCCATGGCGCTTATTTAAAGCCTCATTTAAAAAGAGATTTTAACACTAACTTTATATTTTAGGTTTTTCTAGATTCTCTTTCCAGAAATCACAACCGCGGCATCACGAAATTGGTGGTAGAGAATAATAATCATTTAAGATGTTTTCTTTAAATCAATTTAAGCAGTACACTTAATTTGTAAATAAGATAAATTTTATGTTAGTTAGGTGAGGTTAGTTTATGGTCATGACATGATGAAAAATTTATGCAAGAAATAGAATATGACATGGTCCCGAGCATTCCCGATTTCAAACAAGATCCATCGTCGTCAGCTCTATTTAAACCGAAAAAAAATAAAAAGTTAATGTTAATACATCAAGGGTTGAGAAATCAGAGAAGCATATATTATTGAACGCGAAAACCACATGGTGAATTCGCTAAATCCAGGCCTCAGGTCGAGCGTGGACAGTTAAAGCATGAATTAACAATTTCGAAATTAAATATTTGGAAAATCTTCATTGTAAATTCGCACAATTGTAGTAGAAATTAAAAAATAATTACGATAGCATATTTGGAATAATTTAAAGTTATGTGCGGTATATCAGAAGCATATTTTGCAAGTAAAATTCATCGTATACAGTTTATGCGTGTAAAATGAGAATACAGCAATACACAAAATACGTTACCTGTATAATGTCAATGCAGTTATTCAGATTATACGTTGCTTGTACGAGATTTCAGTATTACATTACATATGTTACATGAATATCTAGAATACAGTAATACAGGATACGCGGAACACGTAGAAAAAGTTCTCACCTTTTTTGCGTTGTAGTTTCTCTCTTGGAAGCTGTGCAGGGCTCTGAGGAATTAATTACATGCATTTAGAATCGTTAATAAATACATGAAGCCAAAATTATATTGAAATCAGGGCACAAGCCATAAGAGGCACCTAATTAATAGGATAATAAATATGAAAACGTTATTCATTGGTTTGACTCACCTAAAAATATCCTTCAATGTGGCTGACGTATTATAACAAAATTGTAGCCTCTAAGTCTCATACAAAAGTCAAGAATGCTTGAACAAGACAACAGAGAATCTATCTGGAATAACACAATCTACCTTGAATAACACGAATTACAATGAATAAAATTATTTCATATCGGCGCGATCAACTTGTTTCAAGCTGCACTAAAACAGCAAAAGTGAATTTTACTTGCCAAACAATCAATATTTTTATGGTCGTGAAAAAACATCGATGTTCGCTCAATTAATTACATCGTGAACTCAAATTATGATGATTAACTCAAATAAAATTAGGATATTATCATAAAATAAACTTTAAATTTCGACTACAATCGTATATCTGAATAAGACGGATTTTTTCAGATGATAAATCCTATAAATAAATCCTGGCCTAAAACGGCCAGGATTTATTCCAAATGATGAACCAAAACATATGAAAAAAGGCTAATATGAATCATGAGCCTGACATGTTCATGACTCTGTTGAGCTTACATCAAATTAAATAGTCCCTGTTTACTGCTGAAAAAGTCATATGTTTTCAATTGGGCCCAGAAACCAATGCATTCATAGGTGCGTTCAATCAGACATCGTGGAATGATTTAATAATGGAATGATTAAAATGGAATGATTAAATCATTCCATACTTGGAATGATTTAATAATGCTTGAAGTCGCGTATTGTTTGATAACAATATAAAATAATCGTATATTCAGTTCTAAACGTACAATGAAAGATATTTCGATAGTTTTAACAATTTACTATTAATTAATTAATGTTAATTAAATAATCAAAATATCATCATTGATGATTGCTTGCCTGTTTACTTGATGACATATACATATATGCTAACAACGTTTCCTCACGGCAATCGCTTTACATAAAAAAAGTAAATAAGCTTTGACATTTGTAGAGACATCTTCGCGCAGAATATTCATTTTCAATCGAGTTACAACATCCATAATTGATGAGTTGTAGCAAGCATGAGACTTGAAGCGTAAGTTCGTTACTGACCATTTCTTTCCACTTCATTTCCACTTGAAGAAATGTCGAAGGCGACACCGTAATTTGTTTTAGTGCTTCGGTTGCATCATATTACTACTCTTCAAATGTCAAATTATGAACAAATACCGAGAAAATGTCAGTGTCATTTATATTTCTTTATTACGTGATTAATTGAATGATAGATGCTTATTGTCGACCGTCTTCTGAAAAGAAATACTTTAGAATAAGAGTACCTATACGGTTAATAAGAATATTTGAGAAAGTACGAAATTAACCTGGGTAATGCCTAATTTTTCGGTCATGTATTGACCACTGCAATGATGCTGACAAATATCATTTTCAAAATTATGCTATTTCAGGGTTAATAACCTACTATCACTTCTATTTATTACATGGTGCAATAGTATTTTAAGTTCACTGTGATAGATATCAAGTTTATTTAATAATCAAGTTACTCAACGCATGTTTTCGGCGCATCTATCCCCAAACTTTATTAAGCTCTTCTCCTGTCACTCTTATAATCCTATAGTCTGCTCGGATTATTAGGGAGCATATTCTGAGCATATGCTGTAATTAAATTCGTTCATAATATGTTCATTGCCCATTTTAAAATAAAAAAATATTCAGTTTAATTAATGAAGATTATTTCAAGATTGACTGGACTTCTCAAGTTACTCTGAATCATTTAATATGCAGATTATCTAGAGTCATGATCATCATAGAGCAGATAGTTCCATTAATGCTATCATAAAGTAGATTCTTTTATTAATATTATGGCCAAATAGAAAATTCTATTAATGTTATCATAAATTAGATAGCTATATTGAAATTTCCATAAAATTAAAAGCTTGAAATATTATCACAATACATAAAGTCTCAATAATTCTATAACAAAATTCACCTGCTGAAAGTGTCGACATCTTCGCCGGACTCAAGGATGATCGCGTGCAGGTCTGATGGCCGGCCCAGTTTATCATCAAGAGCTCTCAGGTTAGCAGCCATTACAGTTTCGTCATCGTCAGGGAAAACCAATTTAACGTTCTCCGTGGGGAGCACGTATACCTGGGGATTAGGAGGAGGAACGGGGGTTGAGATCCTTGTAGTTCCCTTCTTCCTGTCTTCCCCAGGTGATGTTAGGGTATATTTTTTTGGCGGTTTCACGACCCTTTTTTCTGGATCGTTTTGGAACGTGTGTCCCGGAGGTGAGTTGGATTCTGATGGTCGGCGCTGTCGGCTTGCGACTGTTGATTTGGCTCTGGAATCTACGGAAATCTTCTCCGCCGTCTGGAAATAAAATTTGCTGGTTGAATCATTTATGTAATCGTAACTATTACTTTTTTCATACGAATTTATGCATCGTGTTCTAAAAAATCTGAGATAACCGACTGTGTTTTCATAACTAATTCCTACTGTTAGTTTACAATTCTATACATTGAAAATTGAGCTGAATAAATTAGTAGATTAAATAAAAATTTTTGAATTGAAAGTAAAATTTGAATCTATTTTATTACTTTAGCTTTATTTTATTTATTGTGAATGTGATGTATTGTGAACCTTTAATTGATTATTATTCTGCCTATTTATCCAGTGAACCTGAAATACGACTGCAACTCTGGCCTTTGTTTAAGTTAGGCCAATTAGTAATGTTTTATAATAGCATCAGACGCATGAATCGCGTAGAAGAAACAGCTCATATTGTTTCATGTTAACTATTTAACCTGCTTTAATTAATCCTTTGTTCATGCTTCTCGTAGTTATGGTTTATAGCCATCACCGCAGGTGCTCATATACTTGAATTTGTTTAAATATTTATTCTTATCCTCCGTTCAATTTGATGCACTTATTCAGTGATATTAAAGCTTATTCGTCGTCAATGCTGAATTTATTTAGCCCCGATATAACACAGTTTTGCATATCGCAGTTCAGTGCCACTTCTGTAGACAATTTTAATGTAGAAATTTTGCTTATGGTGCAAGAGTCACAGCGTTTCATAACACTTCGAAACACTCCGATTCCCTCCAACACGATAGTAAAATAAAAAATGTCAGAAATTGATTGAAACTAAGCAGTACTTACATATCGATGACATCAATGTGATTATTTCACAACATGAAATATCAAGATCGCTACATCTCTACCGGTTAACATAGCGACCAGCACGTGCTTTTATTATGCCCAGGATATACCCTGTTCTCCTACGATAGCCTTCAGTCGCATAGAGCTCTTTGTACGGCCATGATTGATGCCTTTGATCAATCACTGGAAACCGCAGCGCAATCTCATCAGGGCTCTCGAAACCGATCCAGGAGCAGAGTGTAGCAATCCGGCTGTGATTTGCGTGCCACTGACATCCCGATATTCCTTCTATTTCAGTGCGCTCGAACAATGCTGAGGCTAGCATTAATGTCGCAGCCTGGGGGACATTGCAGTGATGTGGTGTGGTGGTTAATGCTGTGGAATGTTCGCTATTGTGAAGATATTATGTAACGGTCATGGGGTTTGTTGCAATCTTTTGTGTGATCAAATAATATCATTAGTGCAGGTGCAAATTTTGGCTAATTTTGATGTAAGTTAATGAATTCTGGCGATAAAATTATCAGAAATTCAACAGTCTAAAGTTTAAAGATAAAGCAATAGATTATTATTTAGATTATTCAATTCGTAATGAATGGTTGTAACTTTGATAGTTGTAGAACAGATCCTTGGATGTGCTTACTTGGATATCATCCAGGATATAATCATTGGCACCGATTTTTATCAAGGCCTAAAAATTGATGTCTCGTTGATCGCGAAATACATTGAGTTGGAAGAAAATAATCCGTTCTCAACGAGTGGACGTTGAACGCAAATAACAGCTTCACAGTTCATTAATTTGCTATAAAACCAATGTTGCAACCTTAACAGCCCATTGACCCTCGGGAACGGGAGAGGATCTTCGCTTTTGTAGCCAATGAAACAATTCGCAATTTTCCTAGGCCGAACATTTTCACTCGATGATCAGCTCCACTCAATCGAAAACTTCAATCGGTTGCGGAAATTTTTCTTAGATTACATGGCCACAGATTTCGTGTATGCCAATCTTTTTTTTTGCGGATAAAATATCGAAATTTTGCATAATGCCTTGTTTATATTCGACTTAACGCCCACACAAGGAGGGTATTGGCAGTGATTGGACGACGCTTTCATCAAGACCAAATCAACACATGTCCCATATAACCAATTATAATTAAAATATGCAAGCATGTATATTATCCATCTATTAAGTGAATAAATGAATAGCATTACACTCAAAAAATTGCATGAATGCCAGATCAGCAACAAAGCATGAGATGACCGTTTCATTCAAAATTCAAAGTGACTGGATACACAGGCAACAATTTGAACCTAACATCAATGAAGGAGAAATTCAAATTCAATCAATAAATGCTAGGAACGTGTCATTAATTGGATCGCCCGCTTGAGCGACAGACAGATTGCTCTCTGTGAGAACAAAGGATCTATTGGCTCACGAATAACAAAGCTTTATTATAATCGGTTAGACTCCACCTGATGTCAGGCATTGTCGTCTAACCATAAAAAAATAGCTTAATGGGATTTGCATTCTACAAATCTGACATGTTCTCTAACGGCCTGACCGGTTATTAAGCTACGATCTGTGCTCTGTAAAACCGCGTAGCAATAAAGGAACTCAAACTCCTGACAATAGAACTTTTTTTAGTCCCCGCTACTCCCACCTGCGCTCAAAATTAAACCTGGAAGCATCCAAGCGTAGAGCCATGAATGGTTATTGCACTTGTGTAAGAATTTCAAATTACTCCCTAGAATTGGCTGTATTATAATAGAGATAATAAGGTGATGTTGTCGGGTTTTGTAAGTAGGAGAACTTACTCCTTGAGGTCACCTAGGAAGCTTTGTGTAGTAAAAACACTGAATTTTCTTTCAGTGATTTTTACAGACTTTAATACACGGGAGTTTCTTCAACCCATTCAGAGGCTCTAGCTGATAGCGACTAAAGTATATTTGCTAGGTAAATAATTTTTTTTTTGCGACATTCCGATCCGACATCTATACTAGTGGTAAGATCAATAGAAGAATCGTTTTAAAAGTTGGAAATGATTAATCTCACATTCAACGCTTCCACTTGCTTGCAAATGTTATTTTATGACTCTATTTGATTTTTATTATTATACTTGGCTTTCAACGTAAATGTTTCGATGCAGTAGTTATATGTTCAATTTCAACGCGTCGTGTGTGCAGGAAATACGTATTAATCAATTCTTCTATAGCGGATAAGTTGGCTCGATACCGCTACAATTTAAGAACTTGAACGGGGATTATAACACGCATTTGCCGAGGATTATATTCAAAGTGTATTATGTAAAGTATGAAGGTTGCACCTGTAGAATGAACAAACTGCTATAATACTAATTACATAATACTTATCGAGATGAATAAATGAATTTCATTATATAAGTAAATATTACAAATTAGATCAATATAACAGGAGCTATTTATAGTCTTACCCCAAACATTGGCGAACCAATCTAAAAAATGTCAATCTATAAGTAGCTCGGATGGCTTGCAAAAGGGATGGATATTCTAGAAAATTAATGAAACGGATAACAAAGATAAATAGTGTCCCTACATTTCCATTGTTTGTTTCGAAATTTCATTTAGGTTTTTCCAGACACTGCAGCAACCACCAAATTGTCCGGACAGTGAGAATTGTTAATTAATTTGCACTGTTGGAGCCATAATTTTTAACTAAATATTATTGCTGGCAATGATTGTAGCGAAATTTAAACAAATAAAGAATTGCATCCAACGTTGATCAAACGTAACGAGGTAAACTAATTTAGAATTCTAGTTAGCATTGCTATTCTGTGATTAAGATGGCTTTATCTCAAGTCAATTTTCAAGCATTTCCCTGGATTGCTCAATTTAACATTTGGCAATACAATGATTAACATTTTATATGAAAATTTTAATTGCGAAAAGTCAAGTCCCACGTCAACACAGAATATAACTGAAGTAGCAAGCCTGTAGTAATGTATACAAAGAACGATGTCAGCTTCATAATTGCAACGCAAAGCACTAAAGAAGCAAGGGGAATACACTGCTGGCTCAGAGCTGTCGTGTTCAAAACTAATGGGTTCTCTGGGACACTTGAATGCCTTCTCTCAGCCCGCCTGCCTATCCTCTGTCCGACCACTAACGTGAGAAATGCTGTGAAACCAGCAAATTGAATTAAATATATAAAAGAATGAAATTCAGATACATTTACGTCACTCGATACGAATTTGAATATTCTCTCGAGTCGAATCTGAATTCGATTTGTTCTCTCAACTCCACAAATTGATCCCGAAGCAACAAAGTAAAATTGAATATCAGTGCAAGAAACACGTCAATTTTACGATAATTTTTTTTTCATTGTAAATATATCAATCAGTATCATATATTTATTTGAAACATCATGTGAAAATTTTGCGCTGAACTTCCTCACACTGCGAAACATTTGCGTTCATTATAGACGGCGGTCGTCGATAAATAATCTACGGATTTTACTCCTGACATTTCAGTATCATACTATGAAATTAAAAAAAAATACAAATATTGACTCGTGAATATTCTGAGAAGGGGAGCTCTACACTTTAAGCATCATGAGACAGTATGATGGCAACATCCAAGATGATAAGAATGTAATTGTATCGATCAATATCAATTCTCGCGTTCAATTTTCAATAAAAAAAAAAGTTTTATTTTTGATGTTGTTTCTGACACAAATTGCATGTCAATCAAGCAAAAAATCTATGCAAATAGGATAAGTCATTTATTAAATAAATAAAAAATATAATTTCGTATAGTGAATTCTCGCTCAGATATATTTTTTAAAGTGTTTCTTTTATCATATTAATTTTGTAAAAAAGAAAACTTTCATACGTATGGAAAATACTTCTTTTTTATATTAGGAATCAAAATAATTATAATGATCAAATTTGTTACTATAATTATTACATGACATTAATATTTATGTATTATCATTAATTATTATTAAGCAAAATCCAAATAACGATCAAAATAATGATAATGATCGAATTTATTAATATTATAAACAATATAAATTAAAGTAGCAGTAGTTTACTGACCTGCGCGTGGAGAGAAGCTACGCGTGGTTGGGGAGCGCTGTGGCCAGTGAGCAGCAGCATAGCCAGCAGCGACAAGATCATCACGCACCCCAGCGACGCCATCTTTATCACCCTGGAATCATTAATAAGGTCAGAACCTGGAATGATGCTAGTCACCGGAATAGTATTAGTTTGTAATAAGCACAGTAATTGGCACGTACATTTAATGCATGCCCGTTCATCTGCATCTCATCTGCACATTTACATCGCCAGCACATCTACATAGACAAAACTCATCAACAATGCCTATATACATCTGATTTGCCTATACCCATCTGTGTAGCCTGCTCATATCGGCATCAAACTAAACATACACGTTTCCTCCACACATCTGTATCGATACTTGCCTCTACCCATCTGTGTAGCCTGCACACATCCGCATCAAACTAAACATACGCGTTTCCTCCACACATCTGTATCGATAAGATTATATCCGCCACATCATCACATCTGCACTTAGTAGATGTGTAGGTGACATGATAACATCCATGTCATCAGTCCCCGAAGACTTGTACAGCAGTAATTGCAACAGCCTAGCGTTGCCACCTGCTTTATATTTGCTAACATTTACTCGCTAATTACCAGGCAAACATCAAGGCCTTAGCACCGAGTGGGGCGCTTGCAACTCATACACGAGCGTCGAAATCTAATTTCATAGCATATTTTATGTGAAGCTGGTCTGAATTATTTAGGATCATTTAATTGAGGAGTTTCTTTGATTCATAAAAGATTATTTGAATTGTTTGAATTTCATTTGAAATCATTAAGATATTCTATTATCTATCAAGTCATTGTGAATTTTTATTAGAATCTTTCGGTGCAGCGTTGATTGCTCGAAGTAGTTTTAATCACAAAAGATAATTTGAACGTTTGATATTATTGAATCGTTATGCGTTGTTTGAATCGTAGAGGACAAAGTCTGTATTAGACAATTTATATATAAATTTAGTGATGTGGTGATAACAAATTCTAATTTAGTTTCATTGATAGCTCATTTCTCAAACAATGGCTGGGAAAAGAAAATAGTTTCATTGATAGCTCATTTCTCAAAC